TCGAATTTGTTCATGCACTTCTTGAGAACTTGGAAACAACTAAGAAGGTCCTCAGGGACAGCACCTGCGTGGTCATTGTCGTAGTGCTTGGGTACTGAAGATGATGCAAGATTTATTCTCACGTTTGGACTACCCTCACCACCTTATCAACTCCGCCATTAACACCTTTATTAACTTGAGAATTGCTGACCAGCAGCCATTGCAGGCGTTGGGAAGATTGGCAAAAAATGATGTAACCCGAGTAGTCATACCCTTTAAGGACCAAGACTCAGCTAACATTGTTAAGACACGGTTGAAAGACCTTAGCATTAAGCTCCAAACCACAATCCAGCCCCTATTTGTCAGTCGGAAAATTGGCCAAGACCTTAGAGAATGTGAAACCAAACCACAGCTGGTTAATCAACAGTGCATAGTTTACCAATTTAAATGTAACCTGTGTGATACAGGGAGCTATGTTGGTTACACACGTGGGCATTTATATGTCCGGGTGGATAGCCATAAGAGCACGTCATCTTCAGTACACAAGAACTACGACAACGACCACGCAGGTGCTGTCCCTGAGGACCTTCTTAGCTGTTTCAAAGTTCTCAAGAAGTGCATGAACAAATTCGATTGTCTTGTCAACAAGATGCTTTACATCAAACAATTAACACCGAGTTTGAACGTGCAAACGGATTCTATCCGTGCTAAAGTATTTGTTTAGCTACCTCCCCTATGCAAATTAGTTGTAACTCTTGAACTCGCATTTGTTAATATTATTTTCATTCGTACCCTTGATAATGGCGTCATGAAGAAGCCGAAATGTCGGGATGTTATATCGTTCATTTTTACCCGTCTATATATACTTGTCTGTTATATAATTACTTGCATTCTGTTACTCATTGATTGAAGATGGCATAAGCTTGCTGAAACATGTCTCTCAAAAAAGTTGTCTATTTCTTACAATATTTATCATACTTGCTATTACTACAACCTTTATTTCAATAAAAAACCCATTTTTTCACAGCCAAGGCACCAGAAATGCTAGAAAATGCCAGAAAATGCCAGAATCCCTCCTTTAGATATTTATGTTGAGAAGTTTGTACTTCAGCAAACTCGCTTAAAAAAAGTTAGGTACATATTGTTTTTGAAAAATTTTGTGTTCATCTGATGTATGTAAACCTAACTTTTGGAAAATTTGCATTTTGTGTAACAAAAATTTCCTTCACGTTGTCAATGTGCATTGTTAATTTCCTTTTAAAAAAGGTATATTGCAGACAGTGGGGAGAATTGATATTTACATCAGAGAGGTGAAAGTATTTAGGCCCTAGAACATTCTAAAACAGCTGTTGTCAATGTTGAGTCCAAAAAGTTTTAGGTCCTTGTGGTGGATCACTCTAAACTTATTTTGATGTGAATTTTTCAGTGTCCCAAATCAAGATCAGAGTTGATTGGATTATGAGGCTAAGAAAGATGAAGTTTTTTTTTATAAAGAGACTCTTACCAGCTGCTCATACATACAGAAGTACTCAAACCATGGAGGAACTGATGGCTCATTTTTACTCTTAATTAATGTGTACTTATTGCTTGTCCTAGATGTGCAAATGTTATAATAGACATCTCATAGGGGTGACATTTGCATCTAATCCTATGGTCCTTCTTTTAGGTTTTCTTTAGGTTTACTAGGAATGATCCTTAATTTTTGTTGCTCATCAGCATGTAAAATTGTCTTACATTGTGGCTCTGTGGAATGTACAAAATTAATGCATGTTTAATATACCAACTTATGAGATGTAGTTGGCAGAGCACCTGGGTAATATGAAGTAAATCCTCTGTTCTGGTTGGCTACACACCCATCTTGCCTGCTTGGGTTAGCCTTGTTCTCATTTTGCATTTTTATGGATATCGACTTTGTCTTGGTCCATATAAAGGCAAAAAAGAACTTGGCCAATATCCAGCCATTTTGACCTTGCTTGGTCAATAACATGTATGTACGAAAATGTGTTGAGAGGCAATTTTCTAGGGCACATCAGTCTAATTCACAAATTCGTGACAAAATGTTTAGAAAAAGGTTATTGTAATATTGTTCTTAGTTCTTTAAAAGGGTTTGCAAAATCATAGTGCCATAATGTAGAATTTTTAAAAAAAAATGTATTTATGAGGTGACCTGGTTGATGTTAAAATTGAAGATCTCTGTAAGGAGGGCAACTGTGTAAAAAACTGTATGCAAGAGCAGTGTTGTCAATAAATCAGTGAAATCTCCCATCTTTGCCATCACATCTCTTATTAACAATTTAAGGATCTATTCAAGGACTTACTTTTGAATATCTCCCTTTAACACTTTAAAAACTAAGGGTGACTAGCATCTAATTTCTCCTTACAAAATCTCCCCAGAGTTAAACATTTAGGGCACAAAAATAAAGGAAATGATCACCGACTGAAGAGGCTCTTGATTGTTAAAAAATTTCTCCTTGCCAGCACCTTATGAGATGTTTAGAGAACAGTATAGAGAATATGCATACTGATGTCAGGGTTTAAAGGGATAAATGTGTGGTCCTCTTTACATGACTTTGGTAAGTCTGTGTGGGTGTTTACCGTATGAAGGCCCTCAATCTCCTTGTAGTCCAGTTTTCTTTAATCTTCTCCAGAACTGGTACGTGTCGGTTTCAGTGTATTACAAAAAGTTTAACCCAAATTCCCCTCTTCCTATCCAATTTGAAAACTTCTGAAACAGGATTTAGCAACAAGTACACACAGATATTGTAGCTCCTTTTACTTGGTCGATGCCCCATACCCCCTAAACCCAAAGGATTTTTCTGTGTCTCATCCAGCTTGTACTTCGAGAGCAAACAAGTACAAAATTTAATTTGCAAGTTATTTTATTTCCACCAAATGTACCTTTCTCGATAGAAAAGTTGAAAAGGTGAGACAAGGACGAGTAGTAGTAACAACCACAAGGAAATAAAAGAAACGTTGGGTGAATTTAACCTTCACATTCCCATTTCACTACTTTGGCACGTCGGGGTAGTCACACTTGCTGGCATGACTTACGCTTCGCGTTTTCCTGAGAAACACGGATAAAGACAAGTTTTGCGCCAGTTTTGTTTACATTATTTCAAGGGGCTCCTCAATTGTGCTCACAAACTGGTACACTGGAAAAGTTGTACAGGCAAAGGCCGATGGACTTTTAGTTTTGGAAATTCCATAAAAATATCAGTGTGCTAATCATACTTCAGACAAAGTTATTTTCTTTAATTGTAATTTTTAGCTGTTTCATCATCATTTTATTAATCCAGGGTGTCCCATTCTTACGATTGTCATTAATTATTTCTCTACGCCTTGTGACGCTCATATGACATCCGAGAATGAGAGCCTGAGCACCAATTGATTTGATTTACAATGGCGTCTGGAGATGTTCTTCAAATAGCGAAAACTTGTTTCGAAGAAAAATTTCAGGCTAGTCCTACGATTGCTGTTTGTGCGCCTGGAAGAGTAAATATCATCGGAGAACATACAGACTACAACGATGGCTTCGTTTTTCCAATGGTAAGGGAATTTCAGATAATTTTTGTGCAATCGTTCATGGTGAGACGTGCGCCTTCGAAAAATTATTTTCTAAGGCTAGGAAATTTTTTTTTTATTTTCTCCATGAATGCGCTGTTGGTAAATGATGAATCTAAAAAATATATTTAATATCGGCAAATTTATTTTGTAGTGTTAATCGGGCCGAGCCATAAATTTTAAGTTTGCACGCGCGTATCTTGAAGCTTGTAACTGAATGCGCAAGTTCTCTACTATTATCTTTATAGGGTTATTTTATCCAATTCTATTCCTCAACTAATTGTTTTCTTATAATTTTCGTAGCTCGTTACAATTAGTTACAGTCTTGGAGTTTATTTTGTTGATTATATGTATTGTATTTGGCAAGGAGAGGGGGGGGAATTCTCAAGTAGATTGCTAGGGGTGGGTGAGGAGGTAATTTTTGTAAGTAAATGTTTAGTGTGGTGTACAGACCTGGAAGCTCGCAGTCTTTTACAGTTAACTATCTGATATTTGGTGTTCCTCTTCCCAAAACTTAGGATTTTGCCTTATATATAGGACTGTGCTCAGAGGAAAGGTCATTTGGAAGCAATAGAATATCTTTAAATCCTTTAGAAATTTGTCACATGTAACACTGACTGATTCCTCTGGAAATGACATTAGCTTAAAGTCCCTATTCACCCTCGGGGGTTTATATATATTTCGATTCTTTGCGTTATCAGGATTAATCTCCAAAAAAAATTTTTGCAATTGAATAAATATTTCCCGAGATATGCTGCCTCAAAGTTACTCTTTTGGCCACGCCCTTTTGACTTGGCCAGGTGAGAATTACTGGGCTGAGTGACGTCACAGCAAGAACGAATGTTAACTTCTTGTATAAGAACAAGTGTCTATTGCTGTAAAATGATGTGAAAATGCCAACTCGTTGTGTGGTCGCTGGATGCTCAAATACACCATATTCGTCTAAAGGCATATTCAGGTGAATGTAGGCACATCCATCGAAAGACATTCTTGCTGTGCTGTCATGAGGGACTGTTAGTTACCAGTATTAACTTAGACCGGCTAAATCAAAAGGGGGTGGCCAAAGGATGAACTTTAAGGAGGCATATCTCGGGAAATATTTAATCAATCCAAAAAAAATTTTTGGAGATTAATCCTGATAACACAAAGAATCAAAATATATAGAAACCTCTGAGGGTGAATCGGGACTTAAAGGCAAAACCTCTTTGATTATTATACTCCATCTAAAAGGTTTTAAAAGCCTATCCCTCATTGTAACATTGTTATGGCCTTTTGCGGAGTGCCACCCAATTAACTTGATAACCAGATTATGGGGCACTAAACTAAAATGTATTGCTTTGTATTTTCTGCAGGCTTTAGATCTAGTTACAGTAATAGTTGGAAGAAAGTCAGACAATGATGTTTGTCGGTTAGGTACCAGTGCAAAAGGTGCTGATGAGCCTCTGATGATAATGTTTCCTGCACCAACACCAGACAAGCCGTTGACCCCTGGCAAGCCATCTTGGGCTAACTATGTTAAGGGTGTCATTGCTAATTTTCCTGGCGAAATCCCTGCTTTTGATGCCATGATTGCAAGCTCAGTTCCTTTGGGAGGAGGGCTGTCGAGTTCTGCATCTCTGGAAGTGGCCACATACACTTTTCTTGAGCAATTAACTGGTAAAGAGCAAAAAGATTTAAAGGCAAAGGCTTTGGCATGTCAAAAAGCTGAGCATAACTTTGCAAACATGCCATGTGGGATAATGGATCAGTTTATCTCTGTTATGGGAAAGAAAGGAAATGCTCTTCTGCTTGATTGTAGGTAAGATATTTGATACAAAGGAATGAATGACATAGCTCCAGGGGTATAGCTGGAGGGGAAGGGGGTTGGGATGCCTACAGCCCCCAACTCTCATGAGAATGAAATAAATAGAGTAGTAAGAGTAGTTGACATATAACCATATTAAGTTTACATATAAAGTTTATAATTTAGATATATATACTTTTTACTCAAATATTGTAACATAAGATATGTATTTTTTATCTTGTGAGGAAATAAAGACTACTATACTATACTATACTATGACATTACTAAAAACATGATTCATCTATGCAGTTACTTTGTAGGCCTTTAATTTAATTTATTAGATTCGCCGACAGGCAGGGACACCGCAACAGCTTGCACCAATTACTGTGGGCCCAGTAAACCCACCCATCCCACCCAAGGGGAGGACATCCACCACACAGTAATTTCGTGCATGGGAAATTAACGTCTCCTACCCCTAACCCTGCAGGAGACGGGGCCTACAGTTTATTCCTCTTTATCCGAGAAGAC